CGCGTCGCTCATTTGTTGGAGGAGGCGGAACAAACACGCGGTGACGCCCCATCATAAAAGTGCGTAGCCGAGCAACAGGTTGACTTGCCTGCCCTCCATATACATATCTACTTATAACCCGACCCCCTTACCTTAGAGTAGTTACACGCGAAACTGAGCGTCACACTGTTGTATAGTTTCCTAATTTTATGAGAAAAAGTGGGAGAATTCCAAGCTTTAATCTCATAATAAACTTGTTCAGATAGTTTTAAATCGAAGGGAATGTTTACCATATATTTTTATAAATTTATTTAAATTCTAATTACTTGAAATTAAATATTTTCAATTGACATTTAATTCGGACAAAGACTGTTTATTGTGAGTTGAAAGATTTAACCTCTAAAAACTGGTAGAAAAATATGACTATATCGAGAAATAAAACTTGTAACTCGCAATATTTAAATTGTAAATTTTATTATGCTCAACTCAGTCTTTAACCGTATAATAGTACATTCAGTAAGACTTTTATAAATATAACCTTGCAGTACTTCAGCTGTACAGGATTCGAAGCTTTTTATTCATTAACTTATTCATTCCATCAGCAAAACTATTTACTTAAATAATTATTTAATTACGAGACTGCAATTAAAACTGAACTAGTTGCTTGATGGTTGAAATAAGATATTAGATTATGTTAAGATGATAACAACCGAGGCAATTTTGAACATCTAATTAAATTTGCAATAAAATACCACTGTATATTAATAAGTCGTAAAATATAATTTTTATATTTCTGTTGGTTAATTTAGGTAGCTTGTTTTTCATTTTTCTCAGTGAATCCTAAGACATATCTGTTGCTAAGATGATTGCCTTTGTTGTGCTTTTGCAGAGATAGTTGCCAAGAACAAAGGCCTGAAATTAAATATATTTCGTCTGCCTTTAACGACATCAAGATTATTTATAGTCAACAAAATTGAATCGAACCACAGTGCGGCAGCGTTGACATCATGACATCGCGTTAACAGCGGCGTAGGCAGCGTGCTTGACGTCGTTTGTTAACAAATTGCGCATATCAAATTTACGGAATTGTCTCTGAGCTGTGTGAGTGGCGAGCATTTTTGGCAAGCCTTGACAAACTAATAGATTTTCTCATTTGTGTGCGTGTTTGTGTGTACGTGTATGAGTGCGCTTCGTCTTCAGTCGATTCGGGGAAATGTGTAGTAGAAAGTGTTTGGTAATGTCTTTAAATTGTAGGCGTTGGCGTTGGCATTGGTAGTCGCGTCTTGACTGCCACAGCTGGAGTAATGCCACAATTTCGCGCTTTATACGCGGTTTGCGTGACAAACATTCACACATTAGGCTATACAGACTTGTACATACGTGAATATATGAATATGTATACAAAGACAGGCATGTCGTAGTCGCCGTCTATATAGAGTCATAATAAGCCTAATGTGCATAAAGTTGTCACAGTCGCTTGCCTGCATTTACATATTTGAGCCATTAGAGCGTCATATTAATGATTTTATAGTGTAATAACGCGTTATCACGCCGTCGCTCACTCACACACACGCACACACACAAACACACTCATGCACAAATGCGATCATAGATACATATAGTACTTATGTATATATCCTTATTTATGCTTAGATAGCACGTCTAATTCATTTGCTATTGTTCTATATTATTTTTGCCCTTCACTACTACATTTTTGTATTTGTTTTTTTGGCTCTCATTCTCGTCTGGCATTTCAATGCACATTTTGAATTTTGATGGAGTTGCCGCACATAATTGATGAGTTCGGATCATCTCCATGGCTCATAGCTTGTGGCAAGCAGTCAGCGAAGCGTGCATGCGTTTTGTTTGTGCTTTTATCAGAAAACATTATGATTATGCATTATATATTAAAAGGCATTTGAATTGTGATTTGTGCACTGTATTATGCATGCGAGAGAAGGAAGAGAGCTGCATAATATGCAAAATTGTTTCCGATAAACCAAATTGAATGTCAATATGAAAATTGGTGCCGCAGCGCCGTATACAGTCGGGGATATTGAGGCGTACTTCAAATGAGTTGATTTCGGAACACTATTTAATGTGAATATTTAAGCGGGGGAATTCTTTCAAATTAAGATTGAGGCAATAGTACCTTTTTTGTTTTGAAAATATTGACAACTCCTAACTGGGAAAGGCTGTCCATTCCAAAGCGCTTAAGCAAACCATTCTAGTTGTCGCCAACAGTGGTATTTGACGACTCATCTATGCTTTTTAACTACCGAAATGAAATGCTACCTTATAATTGAACATCAATGGTTTCCTTCCTTAATATAAAATCAATCGATTTATAATCTCAAGCATATATCCTAAATCAGCTGACCTTCATGACTTCATGAAATAAAAATTCTGGTTCTGGTTCTGGTTTAAAGCCTACACACACACAGTACACAGTTGTACATGAAGTTGATGTAGATTTTAGTGTAATAATTTTTGCTTTAAATACAATCTCAAATAAAAGTATGAATTTTAGTTTGGTTACCTAAGCTCAATTGCTCTAGTAATGCAAGCTTATAAGAGTTTAAAAAGATGCTAGTTCAACTGTTAAGTCTTTCAAATATTTGGTTTGTACTAGCCTCGTATTAATGACAAGCTGTATCTATACTGGCAAGCATTTAACTTCGAAAATATTTTATGTTTGCTGTCTAAGTATCGACACATATGAACTTATATTTAATAAATCAATTTGTAATGACATAGATTTATTAAAATTTCTGTAAATATTTGATTTGAACATAAATGAAAACAGAATGCTACAAGTATTTTAATAAATAGAGAACCAGATAAAGAATACAACAATCTGTTTACTACAAAAAACATGCTCACACAAAATTAGTTATGTATAATATTTTCTGTCTCGCTTGTTTATTTCCTTTTTATTTAAGACAGTGGAAATCTTACTGTCAGCTTTGACAGTAACATTAAGGCAGGGCTCATCAGCTTAGAAACGTGACGGGCGTTTTTATTATGTCAGGCCTTCTTTTGAATATCTTGAAGGTGTGTATAGAAATATAAAAATGTGAATATGCGCACTTCAGCATTTTGTCCGTTGCATCAATTAGGCGTGCTAATTGCCATTAGGTCAGTCTGACTCATACTATTCATAATGTTAGTGCTTCTAAATAAAGTCTTTGCCTATATATATTGCTATTTAGTGAAGCGTTTTGTCTAAACATCTCTTTGCTGCTTTATAGCCTGCAATTTAATTTGCTTGCTTGCCATTGATGCTTGTGTGTCTGTAAATTCGTATTGCATTTTGTTTTCATTTACAAAAAGTGCATATCGCAAATATCATAGCATAGTTTTTGGGGTCGCCATTTTGTATTATGCAGAGAATAAAGCGTGGTTGTAATTGGACGCACATTTTCACCGCGCTTTCGACGATACATATATATGTAGAGCGTTTTAACGAAACATTGCGCACTTTTAATCAGACTCCCTGCACAATGATGGTAAATGGTTTGGCAGCTGGCCCGAAGCTCAACAGCGGGCGTTTGTAAGGAAATATATGTATATTCATAATTCAATGCTTAAACCGCAATTCATGTTGGCCTTCCTGCACAAGTACTTGTTTTTGCCATTTTAGCTTTTTGTTTGCTGCTATTCATATTAATATTACACCGCACCATGGTCCCAAACGTACATTTTATATGGAGAAGAATTAATTAAGAATTCAAATTAAATCGGCAAAAATCGAATTCAAGGAATTTCAGTTTTAAAGTTATCTATAAACTATTATAAAATAATAGATTGTACGCCTTTTTTTTTATAAATTCAGTGATAGTCAGGGATGCACAAATTTGTATTTTATTGGTGTGCAAGTCTGGCATCAAAACTGAGAAATTACATTTCAAAGTAGATATATTCTGTTCTTAAAGATGTAGAGAAATTTAAGGAACACAATGTAATTACTATATGTTTGTCTAAAATGGAAAATGCTGCCTACAAGAATTTAAAATATTTGCCGAAATAAATCTGCTTGAATTTTATAAGAGCAAGGACATCTATTGTATTTCATAATAAACATAGCTACATAGCTCTACATAATACATCACAGTTGTGATTAAGTGTAGTTTCGGTTACCAAGTACCACAGTGCAATGCCAACAGATGTTGTTGTTGCGGTTGCTGCTGTTGCAGCTTACCTGCTGGGGTAAACCTTAAAAACTCTTTTGCATTTTCATAAATTTTTTGGCTTTGGCAAAACCGTTTGTATGCTTGTTCTCTTGCTCTGCCACATTCACATTCTGCAGTTCCACTTCCCATTGCCCACGTCCCTCAATCCTGGCTATAATGGCTGCATATTTTAGCGCTTCATGTAGCTTGAGTTTTGTTTTACACATTTCTGACCGAAACTGACTTGCAGGCAGACTGTTTTGTCTGGATGGACGAAGGGTGTCCAGTTTCCAGTTAATACTGGTGGTTTGTGTTCTATTTTTGACGCTTTTATAATATTGTGGTGCTGCGAATTTTCTGCCCTTCTCTGTGGCCGCCTTCGCTACCCGCCTGGTACTGGTTGTAGCTTCAGCTCGCTTTTTTGCGCTATGAAATTGAAATTAATTTTTAGTGATTGCGGATGCGGTTCTGGGCTTGTCCACCACACCCGTTTACCAGTGCATAATTCTCTGGGCTTTTTCGGTTGTCTGCCACCACCACCGCTCCGTTGTTGTTGCCATCAGAGCTCTGGCACACATTTTCAGCGGTGGTTTGACACTGCATTTCGTTTGCCGCAATTGAATTGTAAATTTTCTTGCTCAGTTGTTGTTTGCTGTACAATATTGTTAAATTGTTATTTATATATTCAAAGGGAGGGCGGACCCATCAGCAACAGCCGGCTTGGTGCCATCGATTTCATTATTATTAAATATATATTGCATGTATAATGTGACACATTATGTGACAATTATTAATAATATCACTCACTCTTTTATTTATAGGCCCAAACTCGATGCGAGCTCAATTAAAAGGCGTGCCAGTTCAAAAATTTGTTGCGGCCTAATAAAATAAAAGGTAATTACATATTTGGGGCATTTTATTAAAGTATTCAAATGAAGAATGACGCAAACATGCATAAAAATTAAATGCTGTTGTATTCATTAAATACATTTGGTTAAAATTCACGAATGATAACGCTTGCGAATAGGAGTGGGCGAGCGAGGAAATCATGTTAGCGGCATTGGGATGGGACTGAAATTAATTTTTAATGAAGCTGAGATGAAAATTGTAGAGCACATACACGAAAACTAAATGCTTGTGTATGCGTGCGGAAAAGTGAAAATTCATGTCACATTTGTCATTAAATGACAGTCAGCTTACAAGAAAATATCATTTAATGCCAATGAATGCCAGCGCGCAAATTGAAATAACAGATGATTGTTGTCAAAAACTGATTGACTTATGCCGTGACATATGTACATATATATACGAGTATATATAGATGAATAAATTGACTATTTAGCATACTTATTGCAGTCACCTAATGGACCCTTTTGACTTTAGGTAATTTTCATCGAATTTCAAATAATTGCTTCTCATTACTTAACTGATAAATCGATAAACAATTTTTTGGGCGCCGTCTTGCCTTATTGCTTGTATCAATTTGATCCGAAAGTTAAAAGAAAATTTCGAATATAAATTATGTGTGTCTGTGTTTCATTTTACTAGAAATTTGGCAGTCAGGTGGGAAAATTATTTGTTCAGTTTTCAAACGTTTTATGAAGAAATGGTGTTTATTTAAAGTCTACTATTGATTTACAAAAGATATTCTAAAAAAAAAACGAGCGTGAATTAAACCGGATACTAATTCTGTTCCAATACCTTTCAATTGAAATGTCAATAATCTGGATCGGTGTAGCTCAGCAATAGCTCTAAATTAGTGTAGTGTGCTGATGCTTTCGTCACTACATGGACTTCCGTTCATGGTGATATGCGTTTTGACGAAGGTTAAGGGCTTCTCGGTAAGTAGACTTGTCGGATTTTGCATAAATTTGCCAGATGGCTAACAACAAACAAAGAAGCCGTTTCGCTGTCTATTTAATTAAAGGAAATATGAGAAATGTTAAAGTTGATGTTCGTTTAAATGTGATAGCGGCATTATAATTATGGAATTATAAGCTAAAATTTTTGTTTAATAGAGATGAGTTGTAAAAATGGCACGAGTATGCTATTGAAAGGCATTTCAAATCCAACAAAATGGACTTAGCACCAGAGAGGTGTAGTTTGTATATGAAAATAAGTTATATTGCCAGCAAATTGTCGGCTATCGATTTGCACCAAACATAATTTGTTGTTGAGATCGGATATGACAATATTAAAATATTTAATTTAACTTTATTAAAATTAAAATAAACAACGAATTTATTTATATATTTACGGCACTAAAAGCATCCGTTTTCTTGTACTATTTAGCCAACCTCTTAAATAGTAATAATAATTTTCATAGACCATCAGTTTAGCCCTAATCTCTTCGCAATTAACTCAATTAGTCGGCCACAAAGCCTGGGTTGATGAAACGCTGCAGAAACCTTAGATTCGCCCAATTGGTGCGGCCAACAGGCATACAACATCTTTGGGCTTTTCCCATTATTCATGGTCAGAAATTGAAATGTTACCTAAATAAATTCATACATACTTGTACATACATACTAAGCGGTTGTAAGCTACGTTGACAGCGTGGGAGACAAAATGGTATGAACAACAATCCACAAGAATGCGCTGTAAGTGGCCGTGTCGTCTACTACCTATTGCAGAGTAAACATATCTGTAGACATATCTATATCTCCATCTTTGCCTAGTCCGTTGAAAAACTACATTGAGCTCGGGTTATGCTGGGCACATATAAATTAGTAAAAGTGTCGTTTATCTTGCCACTGGCGCAGTGTCGGGTAAGGGTGGGAGAGTGGATGGGTTTTGGCGACCAAGAGTGTGTTCATGCTGCAAGATTTTTAGCTTTAATTAGCCGCAACTGCTGGAACGAAGCTTTTGTCTTTATCTATGTATGTATCTGGGTGCCTGTTTCTGTATGTGTTGGAGTCAGCGTTGTTGTTGCTTTCGTTGAACTTTGACCAAGTTTTTGAACAAGGACTGCCAGGTTGCGTGTCCAGCATTCCCTTGGTCCATACCCTCAACATTACTTTGTCCCTTGTTGCTGTGGCTAATTGAAAACTTTTATTGTAAAACTTAATTATGATTGTCCGGTCTGGTCAGTGCCTTTTTCTACTTGAATATGATGTGATGGTGCTTAAGAAATTGTTAAAATTGTGTCCTTTCCTTAATTTTCGGCATATTGTCACGTTTCTATGTTTGCTTTAGAGCTCAACATTTTTGTGCAAACAAGACAGATATTGCATTCTCGAAAGCAAGTAGCTTAAATAATATAAAAACCTTCAGTGCATCCATCAAATATTTGAAACTTGAGAGGCTGTGCACTCATTTGTCTAGCAATTAGTTTAATCTTAGCAAATATTTTTACAATAACACTTGTGTTCAGCAATTCAACTACTAATCAATCAGAGCAGCTAAAGCAATTTTTGTTAAACAAACACATTGCGTTGTGCAGACTTTGAGGAAAATTGTTTAAAAATATTTTGGAGTATTCATTAATTACGATTGTGTTTGTGTCAATTAAAATCTAAGTGCTTTCATATTTAAAACAAGTGGAGAAGCTAAAGTCGGGTATCCCGACTTTGAAATACTCTGTACATATGTGTAGAATAATTATGCGTGTATTTGTGTATTTGTATGTGTCTGTCTATGTTTCGTGTGTCTGAGCAAAGCTGTAACAACAACAACAGCTGCGGGCACTACTTGGTCTTATGTACATATATGGCTATAACTTCCTGTTAAATCAACCTATCGTGATGAAACTTGGCATTTGGACTTGTAATAACTAAATGGAGGTATTTGCCAAGTTGAGTTCGAAATTCCAAGAATTACGGGAGTTCCGATTTGCGGGGGAGAGGGGGGAGAGAGGGAAATTCCAAAATACACATTTTCTGCGTATTCACGTAAGGCATCTGGGACTAAAATTTGGTGTCCCTAGGTCTTATAGTCTACGAGTAGGCGATAATACGAATGGAAAATCGGGAAAACGCCCGTAGGGGGGTAGTGGGGGGGGAAACAAAAAATAAAACAAACTTGCACAGCGTACACTCATAACGCATCTTTGTCTCTACCTCTTATAGTCTCTGAGATCCAGGTGTTCATACGGACAGACTGACAGACAGATAGATGGAATAAACTGCATATCTACAACGTTCTCACTTAAGAGTATAAGTATATCATACTTTTTATTTAATTTGTTGTTATACATATTTTCATTTTATATATCTATTTAATGTAATAATGTGATAAATCAAAACTTCGGCTGTAACCGCGCTACCTTCCTTACTTATACTCTAGCTTATTAGTCAGAAAACCAATTTCTGCATATTAAAACAGTTGAATAATGCTCTAAAATTTATGGTTTCATGTCGGAACTGCCTTTCTGGATTATGTTCAACTCAGCTGAGTAATTAGTCGATGGCCTGGCACGTCCAAATTATGCATTTAAATCATGTTCATTATATTTATACTTATGTATAAGTATACATATATAGCCTATTATTGTTGTCAAATTTAAGCTTATCAGTACATAGGGTGGAAAACTTTTACGGATTAAAATGTCGCGACCCCAAAACTTGATATGCATAGTATATATATACAACTATATAATCCATAAACATGTAAAGATCCAACTCTTTATTATTTTATTGCAGCTCTTGTTTTCCGCGGAGTTTTGGGACCTTTTACAATTCATTAGCATCACACCTTGAAAGCAGATGCTTGCCAAGTAAAATGCCCCTCTAGTTCAGTTACCAATGTCAAGTGTCAAGTACAATTATTAAAGTTGCTCGCTTCGTGGCGCACAATTTGATCTGGCGCCACTGTCTGACCCGTACCGCCATTTACGAGTATACCAGCACGGCAAGTTCTGGTCTTGCCGTGTTCCAATTCTCTCAGGTAGTGCTTTCAGCTGGTCCTTTCGTATTGTAGTTTTATGCTTGATTTAGTGTGCTGCAATGTTTTTATTACAGCTACATATTTGCATCGTCCTATTCATTTATGTGTATGTATGTATGTGTGTGTGTGTGTAAATGTCGGTATTTGGATCGCTTACTTTCGTTTCATTGGCAATTTTCTTTTGGCATTTGTGGCGCAATTAGTTGTTATTTTTATTTATTTAATGTGTTTCTTCTCTTGTTAGCTACTGCCAACGTTCGTTTGTGCTTCATTTTTGTTGCTTTGTGCTAATTAAGCACAACGTTTTTCCATTAATCAAATTACTTTTTGGTTCTTTTCTGTCTGTGTATGTGTGTGTGTGTCTGTGTGTTGTTTTGTTTTTGCATTCGTTTGCGGTCTGCCGGCATTAGCGGGCCGGGTCTACTGCTGTTCTCCTGTTGCGCTCATAATTTGCTGATGCTTTTGGTGTTGTGTCCGTTGGCCTGGCACTTAATTAAAAGATTACTTCTGAAAAGTTTCGGAACTGAAACTTAATGTCAACATAAGGCAATGGGTGCTGCTGAGGACGCTACGGGTGTCAGGGTATTCTGTGCTTCAAATATTTAACGCAATGTTTGCTAAAGAACTTAAAATAAATAAAAGGAAATTGCAAAGCAAACACATTTGAGTACACACACACACACGCACACACACACACATACATCACACACATACCCATGCAGCATTTGTAGGAAAAAGTAACAACTTCGAGCAGACAAAATGGCAAACGTTGAACTTTGATGATTTATAGCTGGGGCGTAGCAGAGCTTTTGAGCTACTACGACACACTCCAAAACATGTTCTGGGTAATATGCGTTAGAGTGTGCGATCATATCCGTGTTTGATGTGTGTGTGTTTGTGTGTGCGTGTGTGTCTTTGAAGCAACTACTGCTAGACTACACATTTAATTTAGTACGTGTCACGCATACGTTTGCATTTTTGCACTTGACAAATACAAAAAACTTGCATAG